GCCCTCACACCCTATCGCTCGCCCCCCCCCTTGGAGCCCACCCCTCTTGAAGCCGTCCGCGCTGCCATAGAAGTGCACGGTGTTGGTCACCGCGTGCCAGCAGCCGGCGTCGCCCGCGGCCCACTGCAGCACGGGCCAGGCCTCCTTGGTCACACTTTTTTGGTACAGCTCCAGCACACACTCCTGGCTGGACACGTCCCACACCTGCGCGGTCGCAAAAGTGTGAGTGTGAACAGCACGGGTGCGTGCGTGTTAGGCACGTGTGTGCGTATGTGCGTGTGTATGTGTGTGAAATTAGTGGGTGTAAGTCTGCGGTGATGTCGAAAAAACAGGAGATGTGTGCATGGGCTGAGATTTGAAGCAGTGCACGGCAGCAGCGAGGGGACGGCGACGCAGCCGTGTAGGTATCTGCTCACGCCCACCGCCGGCTGCGGCCCTACCAGTTGGGCCGCGGCACCCAGCTGCGCGAGAAACGCTTCTGCCACTGGACGCGGGGGGCGCCGCCGTGTCGGCAGGCTGATTTAACCCAACGGCTGATCCACACGCCAGGCTGCTGTGAAAGCGGGACGCAGCACGCGCGTGGGGCAGGGGACCGCACCTGCACGTTCTTCGCAGGCGCCTGGCCGTCGGCCGGCTTGGGGGCGCGGAAGGCGGTCGTCACGTAGGACCCTGCTGCTGAAAACTCTGCAAACTGGGTTCCAACAGCTGGCAGCGTCGCCACCTGTATTTTTTGCAGCAGGTCGAAGGGCGGGGTAAAGTTTGTGATGGAATGCCGTTGGCTGGCTGCGCCGCTTGGGGGCTGTTCCCGCAGCTGTGGGCGCCCCGTGTTGCATCCACGCCCGCTGCGCCGGCGCGCTCAGGCCCGTTCGCAGCGGCGGGCTGCGCACCCCGCCATTGTTAAAACAAGAGGGCGCACCTTGGCGCCGGATTTGACATCATATACGTCCACCTTGTCGGCCCCCACGGTTGCAATCCTGCTGCCATCAGAAGAGCAGAACGCCTTCTGCGCCGGCAAGCTGGGAAAGTTGCACCGCGCGAGGGGGCGGGTGGGGCGCGTGCAGCTGAGTGTTGATGGCGTGCTGCGAGGGGGGCATCCGGCCGGATAAGGATTGCATGCAGGGATTGCATGAAACAAACATGGTGCATATCAGATGCAAACTTACTTGTCCAGAGCTGTAGGATCAAGCCCAGTAGGCCCCACAAGGACGGATGCGTGATCTGGCCCCCGCACTGCGAGAGGGAGATAACAATGAGTGATGAAATAACGCATAACCTACACCTATTATGTGAGGGCCTTACCCAGCAGCTGGATGGCGGCCATGATGATCCTGAATGCGCTCCCTCCACCGGATCACCACCGCAGACCCTTGAAACTAAGGAAAGAATCTCTCTGCCCAAAGTTATTGTGCTCACGTCGATGCAGCAACCATTTCTTGTGAACTGACGGCAATTGTTTCGTCACTTGGGTGCCTCTCGCAGCCCGCCAAGGGTCAAGCAAGGCGACCATGCGTTCTTATCCTTGTCAACTTTACGAGCTCTTGCGAACGCGCTTGTTGTTTTCGGCTTTCCCGTCGCCAGCCGCCATGCAGCAACCCCTGGCACGTGCGCTGCAGCGCGCGCTGCTGCGGCCACTCGCCGCAGCAACCGCGCCCGCCGCGCCGCTTTCGACGGCCGCGAACGCCGCCGGCGACAGCGACGAGATCAAGTGGGTCTTCCTGGGCCCGCCGGGCGTCGGCAAGGGCACCTATGCCAGCCGGATAGCACAGCACCTCGGCGTGCCGCACATCGCCGCGGGGGACCTCGTTAGGGCTGAAATCAAAAGCGGCTCTGAGCTGGGGGAGCAGGTGCGCTGCACGGGGCGGCGCACCCGGCACTTATGGAAGCGACCCGCTCCTGATGCTGCGCTGTGCCACGGCCGGCCGGCGCGTGCTGTCCCTGTACGCGCCAACCCCACCTAAACGGCGCCAACCGCCGCGCGCCGGCGCGAGCGCCGCCGTCGGGTCCGCGCCGGCGGGCCGGCGGCGGCCCTCATCGTCCGCAGCGGCAGCCGCGGCGGCGGCGGCCGCGGGCGAGACCCAACCCCGTCTCGCCC